ATCCAAGCAACACGGTTTTAAATAACACGATAAGAGCAGGAGTTCTTGACAAAGACTCCCTACTTCTACCTGATGGCAGAGAACTCCAGAAGGCACGAGGGACTTGCCTTATATGTCCCGAAGCTTACTTACCTCATCGACCGTTCGCTCCACATCACAACCCGAGCGCTCCAGCGTACGCACCACTCGAAAAGGTCTACAGCGACATCCTCTACAATCGCGAACCAGGACAAGTTAACTACAACTACACCATCACCTTCATCGACGCCGCCACTCGATATGTCTGGCATCGTAACCTACCCAGCCGCGACATGGCACTCGCAGCATTCGCCGCCTGGCTACCGATAGCAGAGAGAGAGTCTGGAACGCAACTGAAAAGCTTCCAGTCAGACGGAGGTGGCGAGTACACCTCTCAGCGCTTCAAGCAGTTCCTGGCGGAAAGGGGGATCAAGCAACTCCTCTCCCTTCCCTACGGACATCAGCAGCAAGGTGTCGCAGAACGAATGAACAGGACTCTGTAGAACAGCATGCGCAAACTGTTACGTGGCATGCGACTACCCAACCACCAGTGGCCAGCAGCAATGGACCATGCTGTCATGCTGCACAACTTGTTGTCGTCGTCGTCACTCCCGAACAACGCATCACCGCATCTACTGTGGACAGGGAAGCAGGGCAGCACAAAAATGTTACGAGTCTTTGGGTGCATGGTACAGTACAGACCCCCAGAAGCACGAGCGGGAAGATTTTCACAACGGGCACAGTGGGGACTACACCTCGGCATCGAGAAAAATTACAACGCGTGGAGAATCTTCGACGTCCACACAAAAGAAACAGTAGCAGCACGAGATGTGATCTTCTATGAACGCCTCACCCTTCAGACGTACCTCGCCAACTTGCACGAGAATCGGGACCTCACCAGTGGTTTTCGTGGTGACCGAGCCTTCGCGTCAGCAGCGGATGAAGCAGACTGGGATGAGCAGAACGTCGACAACGCATCGGAGGAAGCCGGACCTCTTCCGTACTGCTCCGTCAACGTGCCCATGGATGAGGATAACCCTCGCGACAGTAACAACGCCGAAGTCTTCTACCATTTCGCCGACAATGGTTACGTAACACCTGCGAGAGTCAACACCAACAAAGCAGAAAGGGTAGGGCCGAATTTCATACCCGACCCAGAAGCGGGAGACGAAGCAGCTTATCCTGAGGATCCAGAACTCCCTCGATACTCACAGACTGGGCTGCAAATCCTTGGTCTCGTCACCGCAGTCCATGGCGCCGCCATTCCTAAGGAGCCTGCGACGGTTCAACAGGCTCTGGGGGGGGAACACATGGAGAAATGGCGTGAAGCCATGGACAAAGAACTGAAGGCACTGGAGGAGCGCAACACCTGGAAAATCGTTCCCATCGGCGTAGCACAAAACAAGACTATCCTTACCGGAAAGTGGGTCTTCCGTGTGAAGACGAAAGCCGACGGCACCATCGACAAATTCAAAGCTCGCTGGGTCGTACGCGGCTTTGACCAGGAGCACGGAAGAGATTACACCGAAACCTTCGCTCCGGTCAGCCGTCACACCTCACTCCGAATCCTCATCGCCGTCGCCGCCATGAAGAAAAAGAAATTGCGACAAATCGACGTCGCAAACGCATTTCTCTACGCACCTGTAGATGCAGAAATCTTCGTCGAGCTCCCGCACGGCTCCCACGGCGAACCCAACCGAGTCTGTCAACTGCTTAAATCCCTCTACGGGATCAAGCAGGCACCGCGACTGTGGCAGCAGTACCTACACGCCCGCCTCATCCGCATCGGTTTCAAACAACTCCCGCATGACCAAGGCATGTATCGCCTCACAAAGGGAAGCGACTACGTTCTCCTAATCGTCTACGTGGACGATCTCCTATACATTGGGTCAACCGACGGCATCGCCACGTGGTTGGAAGGGGAGCTTCAGAAAGACCTCACGCTTACGGTCTCTTCTACGGTTACGCAGTACCTCGGGCTCAACATTCGCGCGGAAGAAAACGCAATCTATCTAAGCGCCGAGAAGTACGCCGACACCATCGCGAAACGCTTCGGCCTCACACCAAGCGCCATCTCCACGCCTTACCGCTACACGTCAGGAACCGAAAAGGGACGATCTACTCTACTCAAGCCCGCCGGCATACGCGACTATCGGAAGAAGCTCGGATGTCTTCTCTTCGCAGCAGTCACATGCCGTCCCGACTTATCCTACTCCGCGAGACAGCTCGCCACCTATCTCAAGAAGCCTGAAGCAGAGCATCTGGCGGAACTCGATCGCGCTCTCCACTATTTCGTCAGCACCGCGACGATCGGATTAACCTATCACAAAAACGCAACTACACCGACCAAGCTAATCGGCTACGTCGACGCCGATCACGCCGGCGACACCGATAACAGACGCTCACGCACCGGCTATGTCTACCGCCTCGAACCTATCGGTCTTATCTCCTGGCAGTCGAGTAAGCAGGAGTTAATCGCACTGTCTTCAGCTGAAGCGGAATATATTGCACTCTGCTCAGCCACCAAGGAGGGACTTTACCTTCGCGAACTGCTGGAAGAAGCGAAGCTAGCCGAGTTACCCAGCTTCACCGTGTTCTGCGACAACCAGTCAGCAATTCGCATCGCCAACAAGAACGGCTTCGCAAACAGGACGAAACACATCGCCCTGCGCTATTTCTTCGTGAAGGACGAGATCGAAAAGGGGAAACTCGATCTGTCATACTGTCCAACATCTGAGATGGCAGCCGATTACTTGACCAAGAAACTCGGAAAGCAGAAGTTCGAATACTGCATGATGCTGACTGGACAAGGCCACGTCACCTGCGACGACACTCCAGAAGCGAAGGGGAGTGTTGGAAACAATAAGTCTTAGTGCGCTTCTGTCGTGTCAAAACCCAAGACACTAGCGAAGCAGTCCGAATCGAAGCATCGAGTCAAACCTCGGAAGTTAAGGTAACCGCCTGGAGGTTACGAGAAAGTCAAAGGTCAGTGACCTTTGACTCGACAATTACAGCGCGACAGTTAAGGACACACAACTGACTCGTTACAAAGAAGTTGCCCGAGTCGCACTGTATCGAATCGCAACAGCAATACAGTTATCTATCTATTCGTATTCCCTGTACCCTTATATAATACCTCGTATTTGCTTGTTTAATTAAATCTACTTTGCTCTCACACACTAGTGCAAGGTCGGTTCACAAGTTTCATTAAACGCTTCCGCTATTACAAGTTTCCTACCCAGAGTTATCCTCTGCAAAGATCCTTAAGGGCCTTCTCAGCCCAACACACGCAAGTCGATGATTCAACCTCTCTCGATCAAGTTCCTTCATTTCTTTTTTCTGCCATTTCGCAAATGGTTAACCCGAAGCTTCCGCCGCGTTGGGTCGACAAATCAGACGCGTCATTGCAACTGAAAGAGCTGAGCCGCGATGTCGAGCCGCTGTCACCAACGACTCGTTCTTTTCTTTCTGACGAGTTCTACACGACAGTCCCATTGGCTCGTCCCATTTCAAAACGCTACAAAGATATAGTTCGACCCGTCGATTCCCTCGTCCGTTCCAAACGGGAAACGTGCGATGCCATTTTTCGCATTCCAAATCATCACTTTTTAGCAAGCCATTTCTCGGCGCGCTACTGTGTTTTCCTAACGTGATCCTCGTGTCGCAGGAGAACTGTCGCCGTTGTAAGGGCGGCGAGCAGGTGTGGGTACGGACGACCGTCGATATGGCCTACCACGTCGTGGAAGGCACATAGCCCGACGGATGTGACAATAACGAAGTCGGTGCGGCGGAACCCTCCATCACAAAAACAGACGAATGCGACAGTAAGCGTCGAAAAAGCGCGTGAGGAAGAAGCTGCTTCAAGACCAGCGGAATCGAAAGGAGGTGCAACGCCAGTGGCAGGAGCTGTCAGCTCGAGTGGGGGATTCGGCGTGTTATGAGGCGGGGAGCATGGAGTGGCACACCATGCAAGGCGTCGTAGGCAAATTGTTGAGTATAAGTGTTCACTCTTTGTGCCCATTTGTGCGTGTTTCGATGTTTGTGTGGAATGGAGCTGGGGGCCATGTGGGAGAAGCTGATTGGTTGTGATTGGTGTTTTGGTTGTTTTGAACTAAGAGGAACATTTGATGAGGCTGCTTGTTTCGTTGTTCTTACATTCGTTGAGTAACCTGTAACACACATGTGGGACAAGTAGGGCCAACCATTACTGTTGCGAATCGGACAGATCGGGTGGTTACCATGTTCAGTTTTGAAGCACGCATAAAGCCTAACGAAACGTACGAACCCCACGCGAAATGCAGGTTTAGCTTACAGACCCCCTTCACAAGGCAACCGGGAGGGGCTCTAACGGGCATTAGCTGTACCGATTACCGATACATAGTGTTTCCATATCAAGTGTTGCTACTCTCACTCTTCCACCCTGGTAATACATGGAGCAGCCTAATCTCTGTTTTTCCACCTAAGACATAAATATGTTCATTTGGGATATTACAATTACCTGTACACAAGAATATCCTCCTTGCACAAAAGTAGATGGGTGTACATATAGGCCACAGACATGTGGAAACCCTTCGAGCATGCACCATGTCATAAACTCTCTGTACTCATTTTATTCCTGATTGATAATGGCTGCTCCATGTCGTATACTCTCCGTACTCATTTTATTCCTGGTTATTAACGGCTGCTTCGTTTGGAAACATGAAGGCCCTGGAGCTTCAAGATGACTTGTGGTGAAGCAGCAGTTGTTGCCGATGAATTCATGAGGACTGCGAGTCAGAAGCCTCCTTGAGTATGCGCCAAGGACCACTGGCAGTGCAAACCCTGTAACGAGTGTAACAATAAAAGGGCATGTGGAATTGGCAGCTATGACGTTGATGAGAACAATGCTTTGAACCGAAAACAGGAAGAAAAAAAACCAACTCACTAACAAATCCGGCTTGGGAGATAACAGTAGCAAGAACAACAGAAATTAACTGGATTACCTTGCCAAGCCAATGAGCATGCGTGCAGTCATGATGAGGGTAAGGCCGACCCACACGCCATGGATGCCCATGACCTTTGGGGCATACGCCAGCACTCCAGCTATTGGGGGCATCACTGTGATCTGGCAACGTGGAGTGGCGGGGAGAGCCAGGGAGGATAAGAGTGAGGTCGACCCACATGCCATGGATGCCCATGACCTTTGGCGCATACGCCAGCACTCCAGCTATGGGCAGCATCACTGTGATCTGGCAATGAGGTGAGAGATAACAGAGGGAAACAGCAGGGCATGAAGACACAAGAGGAGGTGAAGAGCATGGAAAGTGGCAAGGAGGGTGGGAGCAGACGTGACTCCAATAAAGTCAGTCTGGGAGCTCACAATTGCAGTGGCGGCTTAGGCAAAGTCGGTCGTGCCGTAATGCAACCCGTCAAAGACACACTTTGAGGTGGCTCAGTAACCGAGGGAGGGAGCAAGAGAAGACTCACCATTGCAGTGGCAGCGTAGGCAAAGTCAGAGGCGCCGTAATGCAGCCCGTCAAAGACAAAGGCGAGAGATGTGATGGGCTGTGTGGCCGCCACGAACTGGGGGAGTGGGGGACACGTGGGAGGGATGGCGGAAGCGGGAAATGGGGTGAAAGAGAGACTTTCAAGCGAGTCGTTCGAATGTTGCATAGGCGACGTGATGGGCTACATGGCTGCCATGTTGTTTTTGAGACGTCTCAAAAACAACCTCCCTTCACATAGGCGACGTGATGGGCTACATGGCTGCCATGAAGTGGCAAGTTTCGCAAATGGGAAGATGGAGGAAGGAATTAGAGTGGGTGGTTTGGAATTAGTAGAGTGGAAGTAGGAGGGTGGAAGTAGGAGAGTGGAATTAGGAGAGTTGAAGTAGGCAGGTGGAAGAAAGGGAGTGGAGCTACGGATGCAAGTCATTACATACCGGCATCAGGGAAGTCAGCGCCTTCTGAACAGTGTGATCGGATGTGAATGCGCGGGGGATGTAGGGCGTGGCGAGGGTGAGCAGGGCGGCGGTGGTGAGGCCCATGAGCAGCGCCATCTGTGTGGCTCGCATGGCGATCCTCCTCACCCTCCTCGCATCGTGGCGTGCGAAAGCTGATGCTAGCATGGTCTGGGGGGGGCGGAGGGGGGGAAGGTGAAGGGAGGAAAGAGGGGGGGGAAACAGAGACACAGACAAAAATATTTGAAGGGATGGCAAGCAAAGAAAGGATAGAGAGGATTGAAACTGGGGGAAAGCGAGGCAAGGAGGGAGACGGATCTGGTGCAACGCCATACATGTGTGGCTGTGTCCCCTGTCTCCCCTCTGTCCCTTCTCCCATGTTATCCTCTCCCTTGTTTTCTCCCTCTCCCTCACCTGGGCGCCAAGAGCATCAGGTCGTACATAACCAAAACCGCGAGCCAAATCTGCATGGTGATCTGAAGCGCTGCCATGCTCGTGTGGCCCTGCCTGCCTGCCTCGCCTCCTCCTACCGTCTCCCTTCACCCCTCTCCCTTGATTTCACACCCCCCATCTCCCTCACCTAAACACCAAGAGCCACGTGTTTGAAGAAGGTTTTGAGACGTCTCAAAGCACTTCTTCAACCACGTAGCCAGACATGAGAGACACTGCGAGCCAAATCTGCATGGCGATCTGGTGTGCCGCCATGCTCGTGTGTGTGGCCTTGCCCGACTTCTTGCCTCCTCATACCCTTACTCACACTCCCCACCCACCCCTTGCTGCCCTCACCTGGGCGCCAAGAGCCACGGAGTCGGACATGAGAGACACTGCGAGCCAGATCTGCATGGCGATCTGATGCGCCGCCATGCTCGTGTGGCCCTGCCGCGCTGCCATGGAGGTGGCGAGGGTCATGGTGCAGAGCAGGGCGAGAGTGCGACCCAGCAGGAGACCACCTGCACAACGCAGGAGTTAGGAACGGTGGAGAGGGGTGAAGCGAGGTGGTTATACGGAGATGGCGAGGGTCATGGTGCAGAGCAGGGCGATTGTGCGACCCAGCAGGAGACCACCTGCACAAGGGAGGAGTACAGAGTGGTGGAGAGCAGTCAGAAGCAGTGCTGCCGTGCTGCCATGGAAGTGGCGAGAGTCATGGTGCAGAGCAGAGCGAGCGTGCGACCCAGCAGGAGACCACCTGGAACAGGGAGGAGTCAAGAACAGTGGCGAGGGTTGAAGTGAGGAGCTGCCATGGAGGTGGCGAGAGTCACCTCCATGCAGGGCGAGCGGTGAGGCAGGTATGAAGAGGCGGGGAGGGGAGGCTGCAATGAAAGCTGCAATGCTGCACTGCGCTGTCACTGTCACTGTCACTGTGGCTGCAGCCTGAGAATCACTTGTGACAAGTCTTGAATCAGGTGAGATTGAAAGACCTCTATACTCACCTGATTTGAGGAAGCGGTCAAGCTTCAAGTGAGAGAGGCGGGGAGGCATGAGCACCACGCGTTGGCTGAGCTGCCACAGCATGAAGGCCGCAATGCTGTACTGCGCTGTCACTGTGGCGAACGCTGCCCCGCTGACGCCCAGCCCGCATGCAAACATGAGGAGCGGATCCAAGGCGATGTTGACGATGTTGCCGCCCACTGGTTAGAAGGAGATGAAGGAGAAGTGGAGCAGAACGAGGAGGGAGAGGAACAAGGGTGATGCTTTGAGGTGCCAGAAAGCAAAGGTTGCTACGCTGATGCCCAGCCCGCATGCGAACATGAGGAGCGGATCCAAGGCGATGTTGACGATGTTGCCTCCCACTGACGGGGAAGTGGAGGGGGTGGAGGGAAAGGAGTGGAGAAAGCGAAAAAAAAACGGTGTGATGCGACAACAGATATACACGGGGGAAAAAGAAAAACGTTCAGTGATAGGTTCGTGCGTACCTTGAGCGATAAGCGGAGTGCGAGTGTCCTTAAAGCCTCGGAACACCCCTTGAGTGGCCAGAGCCAGCACCACAGCAGGCGCGCCCAGCGCCCTGAGGGAGAGGTAGTGCAGCGCTGGCCCGCGCATGGGCGAGGTCTGCAGGACACAGGCAAGCCGAGAAGGGAATAAACGGGGGAGGAGCAAGGAAATGGGGAGATGAGTAGAAGTCACATAGCAGGTGCACCCGGCGCCCTGAGGGAGAGGTAGTGCAGCGCTGGCCTGCGCATGGGCGAGGTCTGACGCACATACACCGGAGGACGGAACGCACAGGGGGGAGAAACATGGAGACGAGCGGATGGGGAGAAGAAGCAATGCAGGCAGGCGCACCCAGCGAACTCAGAGAAAGGTAGTGCAGGGTTGGTCGGTCCCCGCATGTGCGAGGTCTGATCTGATGCACACAGCGGCGCGAGGAGAGGAACAGGGACATGGGAGAATGAGAAGAAGAGGAGTTTTTTGAGGCGCCTCAAAAATCTGATGCACACAGTGGCGTGAGGAGAGGAACAGGGACATGGGAGAATGAGAGGAAGAGGAGGAGAAGCAACGCACGCGCACCCAGCGCTCTGAGGGAGACATGGTGCAGCGCTGGACCGCGCATGGGCGAGGTCTGACGGATGAAGAGAGGGTAGCAGAGAAGGTTGCAAGGGCAGCCAGGAAAAAGGGGAGGGAGACGGGGGAAGGGTTGGGAGGGAGGGAAAGAGACGGTTGAATCCATTATACATAAGAGAAGTGGGCTTGTTTTAAATGAGAGTCAAACTGAAAAGAGTAGGAAGACTGAAGAAGACACAATAAGGAAGAACACTAAACAAGGAGTAGGACAAGACACCCACCGCAGGGACGCCCATGGCTCCGAGAATGGGTGCAGCAGCAGAGGCGAGCACCACAGCCTCGACAATCCCGAGAATGGCGCCCACCAGCAGCGCTGCTGACACCGCAGGCACCACTCGCTTCTCACCCGCCGCTTCTGTTGCTGCGGACGCTGATGCTGCTGGTGGTTGTGGGGAGCGAAGCGAAGACAGAAGGAGAATGGCAGGGTATGAGAAGATTTATATTGAAAAAGAGAAGAGATTAGCGAGCAACAAGGGCAGGAATAGAAGGAATGAGACAAGAAGATCTGCTTGTCGTCTAGAGGCGCCTGATTCCAAGATGAGAACGCATGCGGATCATCACATCAGTCCCAGTACCTGATTGTTTCGTGAATCAACTCGAGAGTTACCTGATTTCGCTCTGGCTTCGCCATCCTCAGCGACGAAAGAGGTGGTGATGTTGAGGAGGGGGAAGTTGAAGACCTTCGAGACAAGGTTGAACACTGAGATGGACACGCCAATGGCCGCGAGACTCACGGCTCCTGCAGACACCCACAGGGACACACACAGGCAATGCGGACGATCCCAAGGAGGGAGGGGGAGGGGAGGTGGGGGACGTGGTGAGGTTGAGAAGGGGGAAGTTGAAGGTCTTAGACGCGAGGTTGAAAACTGAGATGGACACGCCAATGGCCGCGAGACTCACGGCTCCTGCAGAGACTCGCAAACAATGCACTTCAGACACCAGATAAGGAAATGTGACAATTACAATACGAACATGTTTTTAGAAAGTATAAAATGGTGGTATTTACCGGTTCGTGCAATGAATGCGGTCTCCGTAAGCTGCGCGACAGGCTCCGCCAATCCGGCGATGACAGCAGGGATGGCGAGCTTGATGAGCTCCCCTGCGACGCCTTTCGGAGAGATCCTTCTCAGCGACCGTCTGTGTGGAGAAAAAACAAAGGAATCGAAAAAAGGAGTCTCGAACCTGATTTAAATACAAACCAACTAGCTGTGTATATTAGGCATCGATAATAACCAACTATCTCCGTAACTTGGTTTAAAGTGACTTACAGTATGTCGTCCAACACAGAAGTAAGGATGAGGTTACTGATGCCTAGTATCAGAGTAATTACTGATAGCAGTAAGGAACGATCACAGGCGACTCACCTAGTTTCCCTCCAAACCTCCGACAGCCCATCCTGCTGCCGTCCCCTAAAGTCTTCATGGGGATTGATTGCCGCTTGGGATCTTACTCTGCAAGGAACACTAGCAGCCTTTCTTGCTTGTGCGTGCTCTAAACCCTCGGACAGACAAGCCGACCCATCGGTCAAAAGCGTGAAGCAAAGGTTCGTCTCTCCAGCGAAGAATGGCGAATGGCGTAACTGGCACTGGCGACAGCGCGAGAGAGGGACTGGCGAAACAAGAGCCCTGGATTCGCAGCGTCGCAGCTTCGAGATCGGAACAGAGGCACGCCGGGGATTCGGCGGCAACAGGTGGTTGCTTCCTGCAGTGTTAGCATTGATAGTCCTTGTACGAGAGCTTTCTACCGCCGTGGCTCCTGTGAGACAGCAGCTTCCTTGGGTCACCTGATTGATCAGACTTGCCATGCGCGTGAAAGAGATAGCTGAATTTGAACGGTTTTTGTTTCGAGTACGGTGTACAACCCAGACGAGCAAAAAAGGTGCGCGTTCTTAAACAAGTGACGCTATTCGACTAAATCGCAAGATAGGCAGGGAGAAAGAAACAGAGATTGGTAGGCGGATGAGGGGCTAAGGTGAGCGGGACACACCAAAGAACTGAAATTCTTGAGTCACGATAATTGGAAACAACCAAGCACCAAGGCTGCTACTATAGTGGCTCTTGCAGAGCCTCTCGGGTGGCTGGATTCCCGATGTTGATTGCTCCTGAGAGACGAATGCACTGAGGGTCCATCTGATAGACACCCTACAAAACGAGGGGCGAAATCGCGCGCATCGGCGAAAATCGTGTTTGTCTCAATTGAATCGACCTAAATTGCTCCCCGCTCGCCACGTGGGCGTTTTTCTAAATTGGATGGACCTCCCTTCCCCCCGCCACCCCAGCCCCCTTTTCCCGCCCTTTCCCCACCGTCATTCGGGCAGCCGCATGCTCTCGCGTGAACTTCGGAATTGCCACAAGCAGTCACGAAATGCAACCAACCAACCCCATGCCACGTGTAATTGAACGTACAGGAAGCCACATCATTTGTCCCAGCAAAATTTCGGAATTTTCTGGGCCATGTATTATAACTCGAGAGGCTTATATACAGGTTGATTGTACTGTGTCCTTCGGGATCTGGCCATGTCATTTCCGGCCTTCACGGTTTCATGATCGAAGCATTCGTGATCCTCAACGGTTCATGAACCCTTCCGTTAGCATCATGTTCCTGTGAAGCTTAGGCGAGTCTCCCGTTTTACAATACCGGGTAGACACTCAACGCAGTCATTACTTTAGGCAACTCATATCCGGGCCCGCATTAGTACTCCACTCAATAGTCATAGCTTATCTCTGACAAAACTGGTCACCATGTAGCGTCTAACGCGTGCGTATGGCCTCCAATCCCTTAGCGCAGGCCTTGCGACAGCTTAATGCGGCTCCCGAGTTCAACCCTAGGTACGACAGGCCTAATGATTACGCGCCATTGGAGCTGTACTCTAGCCGTGATAAATGCAAGGAGGCCGTTTATGCGTACGCTCTAGAGCATCGGTTTGGTGTAAAATGAAAGCTCATGTTCAGAGGTTGGCGGTGAGGATAAGTTTCATGAACGCAGGATTAGGTTCATGTACGCGGTCAAATCCGCCCTCGGCAATTGGTAAGAAATCATGCTCGAGCATGACCGTCGATTGGTCGCCTGGTTGTACATTACCGTACATGATCGGTATCGAGGTACCACTCCATGTCGTTGTTACACTACCTATAACGTTGGCGCGTCCAAACGGAGCCAGTGCATGTTACTCTGGCGCGCTGAACAAATCACCAATTTTTCGACCAATAAGAACAACCACCCGTGGCGAAAGTGTGGAGGCTGGCTGGAATTTGGAAATGGTGACTCTTTGTGAGTTTTACGCCAGAGCATGCGGCTGCCCGAATGACGGTGGGGAAAGGGCGGGAAAAGGGGGCTGGGGGGGCGGGGGGAAGGGAGGTCCATCCAATTTAGAAAAACGCCCACGCGGCGAGCGGGGAGCAATTTAGGTCGATTCAATTGAGACAAACACGATTTTCGCCGATGCGCGCGATTTCGCCAAAACGAGGCCTTGGGAGCTTCAGGAAACCTTGGGAACAGATGTCGTTCTTCCCCCACGGGAAGAGATTCGAGAGTATGAATTTGTCAGCTGGCTTTGCGAATGCATGCTGTGCATAGCGAAACGAAACTTGTTGACACCTTTCTGAACATTCGCCGCGAGGTTCTGTTATTCGCCACTGTGCCCACGTGGCTGACCGTCTGCCCTTTTCCTGACCTTCGGGAGAACTTTTTTCAGATCGTTTCGTTCACGGTCAGCGAACGCACTTTCTTGTCGCCTTTCCGTCATTCGTTGCCGTCATGAGGTGGACGATACGCTGTCAGCGACATCCAATCAGCAAATCATCGTGGACCCTTGCACGGTCGTCTCGTGCAATCTCATCGTCCATCTCGTTTTCCCCGCCGCCAAGGCTCGCTTGCTTGTCAGCAGATTAGCAGATTCTTGTGCCAAAGGCGAAGTGCGGTCCGCTTCGATATAACATTGGATTGGGCTTGTACATAGTGGATGCCTCGTTGCGGCCGACTTCAATGGTGCGTTGGATCACTCATTGAGGGGCTGACCAGTAAATTAGAGCCACTTCAAAAAAACGATTCATACGTTTCGGGGAAGGCATTCCGCCTCATGCTGATAAGAGGGATTTGGGTCATAGAGGAGCATTTGGTTCAGGTTATGCAATCTCACAACTACATGACTAGCTAGTTATACATCTATATCACTTTCTAGAAGGCCGTTTGCACTCGGTGCTTATTCTGGAGCATGCTCTACATTTGCATGTTTCCAAGCGACTCACACGACCTAGAAAGCATTCGTGTCCTACTTGATCAAGTCAAACTTCTACCGCTTGTCACTGCTGATCCAGAAGGCGTAGAACCTGCACACACATGAAAATTAGGGCCGTCAGATAAAACATACAACTCTGTGGGTCTGAAAAAAAAAAAAAAATCGCTGACACAAAACCACCTCTTACCTGGCTCATGCTTGGTCGGAGGACAGCCGACTGCCTCACACACTGCGAGGCAGCCACAATAACACGATCCATCTCCTTCACCCCAAAGCAGCCATCCAGATTCGGGTCAGCCAGCTCCTTGAGCGTGTTGGAGGCAAGGAGTGGCCGAGCCTGATAAGGTCAGGGGAGGAAAGGAAGGGGGCATGGATAGTGCACTCAGGGCATGTGTCATCCAATGTAGTTGTCACCTTGTAATGCAATGAAAGCCACATCACACAAGGCACTCACCCACTCAACCAGGCTGTCCTTCTGCCCCCTCTGCTTGTCACTGGGCTTCCTCCCCGTTATAAGCTCCAGCAAGACCACTCCAAACGAGTACACGTCCGACTTCTCGGTGAGCTTGCCTGTGAGTGCATGCTCCGGCGCCAGGTAGCTGGGAATCACACACAACGGAAGGGGGTGAGAGGGAAGGGGGATTGAGTGGTGAAGCATGGGAGAGCTGACCAGCAACATAGAAGACCGCTCGAACAACCATATCCATGACAATCAAACTGGTGAATGTTGACTGCTCACCCAAAAGAGCCGGCCGAGCTGATGATGGTTGTGAGGGCAGCATCTCCTGCCAGCTTGGCTGAGCCGTAGTCACTCAGCTGAGGGGAGGAGCAGAGAAAGAACAAAAGCACAACAGAAAAACACAAGTCAAGACAATGTCAACAATATGTGGGGAGGTAGATGTGTTCCTTGGTGAATAGCTTGAATGTGAATATCTGAATTTGGGACAACACAGGGGTTTTGTATGCTTACCTTGACCTCGTACTGAGCGTCGAGCAGGATGTTAGATGACTTGATGTCCTTGTGAATAATGTGGGGCTTGCCTGTAAGAAATGAGTGGGAGCCACAGGGTTAAAACCAGGGTCACATGCAGAGCTTCTAGAAGGAAGGGAAACAATAATAACTGAATTTGGAAAGGGGTACGTCTAGGTTCGCGGCCACTTACATTCTTCGTGCAGGAATGTGAGAGCCCTCGCAGCGCCCTTGGCGATCTTCATGCGGAAATTCCACGCCAGGATTGGCTTGTTGCTCCCATGCAGCGCCGCGTCAAGCGAACTGTTCGCGACAAATTCCTGCACCAGCATTCGCTGCGAACTGGCGAGGCAATAACCCATATAAGTAACCAAGTTCTCGTGCTGGATCGCGAACACCTCCTCCGCGTCGCGTTTCCATGCGTCATCGCTCAGCGAACCTTTCACTTTCAGCACTTTCACTGCAACCTCCTGCCCGTCTTCCAAAACTCCCTTGTAAGTAGTTCCGAAAGTTCCCGATCCGAGCTTGTTCGAAAGAGCGAAGCGTTCCGTAGCTTGGTCAAGTTCTTCAGCAGGGAACCACCACTGTTCGGACGGATCAATTTCGTCTTCGTCGTTTCCTGACTTGGCTGCCGCCGCACCTGCGACCACCCCCGCGCCAGCTGCGCCTGCAGCAGGAACAGCAGCGGCTCTCGCGGCTGCCGGCGTCTTTGTTGCCGCGGTGGCAGCTGCCGCTCCTACCGCCGCTCCTGCCGCTACTGCCGCCGCAGCACCCGCAACCGCACCCGCAGTTGGCGCCACCGCTCCTGCTGCACCCGAGCCCGCGGTAGTTACTGTCGAACCGGCGGCCGAACCCGTTCCTGCAGCTGCTGTTATACCCCCCGCTGCGCTCGCCAGCGGGCTTGCGCCACCCGGGGGAGGAGTCAGGCTTTTCCCCGCTTTAGCAGATGGCGGACTTGCGTTGGGGCGAGCACTCACTGCGCCACTAGCAGCCGCCGCGCCAGCAGGTGGTACGTCAGCAGATGCCACGTCAGCTGCTTTGTCAGCAGGGGCAGATCCCGCGGTAGCGGTTGCGACCGCTGCTCCTGTCGCCACTGCTCCTGCTCCTGCCACTGCTGCAGCCGCTGCTGCTGGCGGAATTCCTGTCACTCCGGATTCTCCCCCGTCTTGCATCTCCGCACTTTCCGGATTGCCGGTGGCCTTACTCGTCTTGAACGGAGCTGCGTAGAATGGTACCTTGCCTGTTGAAACAGCGGAATGCAGGGGGTGAGGAGGATGGGAAAGGGCGGAAAAGAGGAACGTGAGTACATGTGTGTACTCTACATCACTCTCAACTAAGTGGGAAAAAAGCCACATTATTCACACATAGAGCAAACACACAAAACAGACAGCATACTCACTTTTAGTTGCCCCTTTGGCCGCACCGCCCGCTTTCCCCTTCTTCTCCCCGTCGCTCTCCTCCTTCTTGCGCCTCAGCAGCAGGAACACGTACAGCCCCAGCACCACCAGCAACACGAACCCCAGAGTCACACCAATAGCAATCCCCGCAATCGCACCCGCGGGCACGCTGTTTCCGCCAGTGTCCGCCGTCGCGGTCGTGTTCGCGGGAGGGGTCGTCGAGTAGGGGGTCGCCGCAGCGTTTGCCGAAGTAGAGAGCTGCGGCAGCGGAGCGGAGGGCTGCGCAGGGCGCGGCGGGGGGAGCGAGGCCGGCGCGGTGATGGAGCCGTTTTTAGGCACGCCGGATGGGGCGCGCGTGGAACCGGGCGCTAAGACAGGAGCCTTGGCGGAGCCAGGGGCAGGTTTCGGAACTTTGCCAGGTGCGGAAGCTGGTGCAGAGGCGGAGCCAGGCGCGGAAGCGGAGCCAGGAGCGGACAGGCTAGCAGGGGCGCGGGACGGCAGAGAGGACGGCGCAGAGGCGGAACCAGGCGCAGAGTCGGAACCTGGAGCAGCGGCGGAGCTTGGTGCAACGGGGGGTACTTTGGGGCGCGGAAGTCCGGGGACCGTTTTCCCGCCGGGGGCGGCAAGACTGCCAGGAGCTACAGGCGGGGTCTTGGGCTTCGGAACGACAGGCGCGCCCGTAGAACCAGGCGCAAGCGGCGGAAGTTTAGGATTCGGAACGCCAGGCGCGGCCGTGGAACCAGGCGCAAGCGGCGGAAGTTTAGGATTTGGAACGCCAGGCGCGGCCGTGGAACCAGGCGCAAGCGGCGGAAGTTTAGGATTCGGAACGCCAGGGGCGGCCGTGGAACCCGGCGCAACAGGCAGAACCTTGGGATTTGGGACGCCGGGGGGAATTTTAGCACCGGGGACCGTTGGGGGAACCTTGGGAGTGGGAGTCGAGCCTGGGGCTCCGGGTGTGGGGACGCTGGGGTTGACTGGGGGAGTTGTGGGCGTGGGGACGCCAGGAGTCTTGGGCGTGGGGACGGTAGGTGTTGTGGGTGTGGGGACGCCAGGAGTCTTAGGTGTGGGGACGCCAGGAGTAGTGGGCGTGGGGACGCCAGGAGTCGTGGGCGTGGGAACGCCAGGAGTGGTAGGAGTGGGGACGCCAGGAGTAGTGGGAGTGGTAGGCGTGGGGACAGTTGGAGTCTTGGGTGTGGGATCGACGACAGGCCCTTTAGGCGTGGGAACGGCAGGAGTCTTGGGCGTGGGGACAGGAGTTGTAGGCGTGGGGACAGGAGTCGTAGGCGTGGGGACAGGTGTCGTAGGTGCGGGCACAGGAGTCGTAGGAGCGGGCACAGGAGTCGTAGGCGTTGGAGTGTTCGGCACAGCCGGGATCTCCGGCGTCACGGGCGTGGGGGTGAACCCGCCCGGCCCGCTGGGGAAGATCCCAAACCCTCCGCCGCTGGCGACCGGGGGATTGTTGACGGGCGTGGGGGTGACGACGGGCGCGGGGGTGACGCCCGGGAATAGCGGCGGTTGCGTGCTCCCATCGTTCGGCTGCGGCTGCGGCTGCGGCTGCGGCTGTGGTTGTGTTACAGGCTGCGGCTGCGCGACAGATGGCTGCGTCGTCACTGCCGGCTCGTTCACTACCGGCTGTGACGGTGCCGGCTGGGTCGGTGCCGGCTGGGTCGGTGCAGGCTGGACCAGTGCAGGCTGGTTCGGTGCAGGCTGGACCGGTGCGGGCTGGGTCGGTGCGGGTTGGGTCGGTGCGGGTTGGGTCGGTGCAGGCTGGGCCGGTGCCGGCTGGGTCGGTGCCGGCTGAGCCGGTGCTGGCTGCGGCTGCTGCTGCTGCTTTTGCCTTTGCTCGCGCGCCGAGGCTTCAATAGCCTGATCCAGCGTCATTTGCGCTACCGCGATTCCCGGCGATGCGCCATTACTTCCTGAAAGGGACTCGGTCGCGAGTTTTCTGCCTTCATCTCTCGAACCGCGGATGGGGACCTCAGGAAAGAGAAGCGAGCGCGGCTCAGGATGGACAGCTGCAGTGCGACGAAGGTTCCGCCTAAGCTTCATGGTTCAAATAGACTAGCGGCAATAAAACATCAACCTTTGAATGGGGCCGTGAACTGGTAACCGTTTTTAATCAATCGAGGCCTCTAGGACTGACGGGCATGTGGAAAGCTACGAGATGACTCAGGGATGGAAGGCGCCACAAGAACTCTAAAATGAGTACACGGGTGCTATGTTAGGGCTCTATCGCTATGCCTGTCACTGGTGGGAATAGTGGATACTATGTGTCTCAACTTTGAGCTTTAGTCAATGTCGTAGGTCAAGGAAGGAAAGAATCGACGACGATGGCTAGGCTAGTGCCCGCATTGACGAGGTCGACTGACAACATTCCTTGCATCTGTGCCTGAAACGGAATCGTACGGCTAGAGTTGCCACGCAAGCACAATGATGCCGCACTCATCTCACGCCTCGAGAAGCGACCGGGGGGAATCTCCTCCGGCTCTCAGCACGCCACAGCGCTCGGATGCCATGCGGTGTGGTAGAACTCGCGACGTGGGTGAGAGGGAGTTCTCAGGTTGCTACCGAGGGCTGTGAGAGCGGGTTTCACGGGGGCGTGGGAGACCGCACGCACGAGAGCACATCAGGGGGGAGGCGAAGCAGGCGGAAATGGGCAGGCAGTGGCGGTGGTGGGACGACTTGCGGTTTGCAATTTCCAACCATAGGCGGATCCACGGAATTCATTCGAATCGATCCCGCGTCGCGCAACTTGTTAATTTTACTGTACGTGAAATCTGCTGACATTGCTTGGCCTGCTTCTTGTGCGTGCGTGATGGTTGTGAAGGGATTTCGCGGCGCGATGCTGTGGGGAGAGCTGAAGTGGGGCTTGACTGGCCACGACCAGCAAAGCTGCCAGACGAGCTCCAAGACTGCTGATGTGGTTTAATCTTAGTGGTCGATGATCCATCTGGTTCGGAGATGGCTGGTTGTGAAGGCATTACACTACGGACGTGCGCACGAAGCTGACGGTGCGGGCACGTTCATCATGGACGAGGCGCGGATCATGTGTGTTGGGGATATTCGGTATAAGCTGCCATCACGCGGTTCGAAGTCTGACCACTTGTTAGTAGTACACCTTATACAGTCTCTAACCTTATTCAGCGTTGAATAAACCATTTGCAGGACATGCATGACAAGCGCATTCTCCTACACTTCAAGAGAAATGCAACTTGGAGATACAAAATACATGCCAGAATCAGCAACCACCGTTAACTAGGTAATATTTGAGGCAATCAAATGCTCCATGCATCTAGCACATTTCCTTCATGAGCAGCGATCAACGGCTCAGATGTGCTAGCCACCATCAGTGAACCGCAGAAAGGGCATTCACCGGCAATTGCTTCATCCAGCTGCATCCGCACCTGCCAGTATGCGGGAAAAAGACATTCACACCAACACGGAAAATCGAATGCATAACATTGAGTTCATGGCAAACAAACAAATTATTGAGCTGAAATGAAAATCAAGAAGGCCATTTCAGATACCAATCCCACCCACACCCAGATTTGCTTGTGTGAGAGTTTACCTTATCAATTGACGATAGTCCCGCATGAAGGTCCACCACGTCACTGTCTCCCTCTACTCCTGCTCCTCCTATTCCTCCTCCTGCGCCTCGTTGCTTGCCACCCCTCCTCGGGGTCTCCAGCACTCCCAGCAGCTGCCGCTTCAACTCCAACACATGCTCCATCTGATGTCAGGTGGCAGTAAAAAAGGGGAAAAACACACGCATTTGAGTAACCTAGATAGTCCTCCCAATCCTGCTCCTGCTGCTGCTGCTGTTCCTCGCTGTTTGCTACCCCTCCTCGGTGTCTCCAGCACTCCCAGCAGCTGCCGCTTTAACTCCAACACATGCTCCATCTGAGGTCGGGGGGCAGATGCGGAAGTAGAATCACACGGAGATTGGAAAAGGAGGGTGATAGAAGTGGAAATGCAGAGTGCTGTGGTACAAGTCCCCCCACCCCCATCCCCCACCCCCCCCCCCCCCCCCCCCCCCCCCCCCCCCCTCTCTCTCTCCCAAAAAAACAAGAAGGAAAATAAGGTGCTTAGGCACCTCAGCAGGACAACACCTCACCAGAAAAGGGTCAGAGTGTTGAACCACGTGGGTGAGCAGGCAGTCAATGTGGAAGGCATGGGAGCAGGGGAACACATAGAAAGGCGTTGCCTCTACTGCTGCTGCTGCTGATGCTGTTGCCAGGCTTGCCGCTGCTACTGCTGCTACTGCACCAGTTAAACCACCACCACCAACACCGCCAGCAGAAGCAGCAACACCACCGCCACCACCAGCGGCGCCGGCTGCAGCAGAACCAGACAGCAGCGCTTTCTGCGGCGGCGGGGCGGCGAGAATCAGACGAGAGCAGACGCCGCAGGTCTCCCGCGTGGACACGATGACGTGGCGCTGACTCAGCGCCTGGATGTCCCTCCGGATCGTGTCCGCCGCCCGGGTCGCCTCGGTCATTTCGGCTTTTAGCCGGTCAATCTCTTGTCCATACGCCTCTAATGACTCGCACACAGCATCTTTGAAATCGTCTATCAAGGTGAAATCCGGGAAGAAAGGCAGAATGTCCTCGACTTTCAGCAAACCCTCGGTTTCTTTCAGAAGGGCAATTGCTCTCCGAACGTTTTGCCGCATTGCACTCTCCTCCTCATTCTCCCTCCCCTTCTCATCCCCCCTCCCACTCTCCTTCTCCTCCTCCCCTTCCCTCTCACTCCTGCCTGTATCATCTCCGCCAATCACAGCTCGGCCTGCTAGCCCTTGCTCGATGACGTGGCGCGCTATCATTAGCCAGAGCGATTGCTTGAGATCCTGTTCTCGCGCCTTATTGGCCTCTCGTTTCGCCAGTGCCACGTCAATCTGGAGAGCTAGAGCTACTGCCTCTTGATGCATTCCCAAGGTACTGTACACGCAAACACACCCCCGCATCCTCCTTCGCTCTAAACACACCCTCAAAGCGAACTTAGGGTCGTAAATTACCCCTCCCCTTGCTGCCCCAGCTGCTGCTGCTCCTCCTGCTCCTCTTCCTCCTGTGTCTCCGCTGCTGCCACCACTGCCACCAGCATTGGCTAGGCTTGGAGAGAGGTTGAGTGTGGTGCCGGTGGGTGTGACGGCAGGGGAGCGGCCTGCTGCCCCTACTGCTGCGGCTGCTGCAGAGGGAGAGGAGGAGGAGGAGAAGGAGGAGGAGGAGGGGATGGTGGGGAAGGAAGGGGTGGAGGAGAGGAGGAGGGTGTGTGGTGGTGGAGGAGGGGGGATCCAAGAGAGGAAGTTGACCAGGGATGTTTCATTCGCCTGCTTAGACATGGGAGCAGTGTGCACAGAAATAGGAGGAAAAAGAAGGAAAATGAGCAGAGGTGAATGGAGGGTTCATGGCGGCGGGGGTGGGAGGACATTAGAGGTGAGAGGTGCGGGTGGTGGGGGGCGGGCAAAGGATTCGAAAAAGAAAGTTGACAGACCTGGTCGGCATAGAGATGACTCATTGGCTTGATAGATTAGGGATGGACCAAAAAAAAAAACAGGGTCTGAGGAGAAACCGAGTCAGATCTACAGACCTGGTCAGCATAGAGAGAGAGCAGCAGGTTGTGGATGGCAGGATCTCTGGATCCCAGCCTGTGCACACAAAACTCCAAAAAGCGGATGGCTTCATTTGGCTGGTAGCTGGTAACAGTGGCAGCCGTAGCAGCACCACTAGAGGCAGTAGCACAACGCATGATTGCTGGGATAAGCCGACGAGGATCGAACCCTGCCGCAGCAGATGCAGCGGCAGCAGCACCGGCAGAAGAAGGAGTAGCAGAAGCAGGAGCGGAGGCAGCAGAGGCAGACATGATCCAGAGGTCAACAGTGCTGGAAGGAGCCAGGAGCACGAGTGCTGGTGAGAACTTGTACTGGGAAGGAGGGGGAGGGAACGAAAGGGCAAGGAGTGGAAGGGGGGACAGAAGGGGAAGGACACGAGAAGCAGCAGACGCAGACATGATCCAGAGGTCAACAGTGCTGGAAGGAGCGAGGAGCACGAGGGCTGGTGAGAACTTGTACTGGCAGGGAGGGAGGGGGGTGGGCCCATGCGTGAGGGGCAAGAGGGGAGGTCTGGCAGAGAGAACAGATGTGACAGAGGGCGCTGTGAGAACAGAGCACGAGAAGAGAAGGTATTACAGGCAATGCGATTGCAACAGGGGCAGTGTAGCTGTGCTCTTAGGAGATGTGACAGTAAAGGGAGCAGAAGAATCACCGTGCTGTTCAAGAGAGTGATAATAAGGGGGGTGAATGAGGGCGGCCTACCAGAAGCTCTAGAGGCACTGAGGGTCGGCGCAGCACGGCGATTGCTGAGTCAGCATCGCCTTGCTGAGGTGGCGACACCGGATTGGATGACATGTTTGATCAGGCACAAAGGGGAGACAGGAGAGAGCGGGAGGAGAGAGAGGGACAAATCTATCGACCACTTGAGCAGCTGCTTACAAATTGCTCGGAATGCGAGACGTCTCAAATCATACATACCCGAATAAAGTGTTCAATCACTGTCTCGTGCCGCTGCTTCAGCCCCGCAGAGTTTTGAGACGTCTCAAAACACGTCTCATTATTTGAGACGCCTCATTCATGCCTCTCATAGTTTGAGACGTCTCAAAACATACATACCCGAATAAAGTGTTCGATGACTGTCTCGTGCCGCTGCTTCAGTCCTGCAAAGTACACCAGCTCCTCCTCCCGACCATAGCTGCAAACACACACCACGGTCAACACAGGTCAACACAGGTCAACACAGGTAAACACAGTCAATACAGGTCAAGACACGGAGCCTCTCATTTTAGTCCTGCAAAATACACTAGCTCCTCCTCCCGACCGTAGCTGCACATGCACACACAGGTCAACACAGGTCAACACACGTCAATCCACGTCAACACAGGTCAAACCCAATCGGATGAAGGAATTACCCCTCATTACCAATCACCACACCTCATCAAACCTTATCACCCCTCACCACCAATCACCACCTGGCAAGCAGCTTCACAGTCGTTGCTTCTTCCAGCACGCCCTTTCAGTCTGTTGAAGTCAGCAGTACGTATCGCCCCTCGCCACCCCTCACCACCGCTCATTACCACGTGTCACCCACCTGGCGAGCAGCTTTACAGTGGTGGCTTCATTCAGCACGTCCTTGCAGTCACTGAGGAACGCTCTGAACGCCGCCACCACCCTTCTATACTCCTCTCTCAACCCTTCCACTCCTGAACCCTCCTTCGAACCTCCCGTCCTTGATCCTTCCACTCCTGTCCTGCTTCCTTCCCCAGCAGCACCAGCAGCACCAGAAGCACCAGCAGCACCAGCAGCACCAGCAGCACCAGAAGCACCAGCAGCAGCAGCAGCAGCAGCAGCAGCAGCAGCAGCAGCAGCAGCAGCAGCAGCAGAACTGGACTCGGACTTGGTAGCTATCGAATCGTGCTTCTCAAAGTCAGGTGGCAGTTGCAGCAACAACCGGTTGATCTGAGTAGGGAGAGGGGGGAGAGGAGGGAGAGGGGGGAGAGGAGGGAGAGGAGGGAGAGGAGGGAGAGGAGGAAAAATATGGAAAACATGGGGACGAGTGAAACGAAGAAAACTTGATAAGGGGGACAGGGAAGGGTGAATGATGGGCCTACCTAGAAGGAGGGAAGGGAACAGAAGGTGGACATCGAGTGGAGGGACCACCGCGCATGTGCGAAGTGACTTTTGAGTCGACTCAAAAGTCACCTTGGGAACAGAAGGTGGACATCGAGTGCAGGGACAATCGCGCATGTGCAAAAGGGGCACTAAAGGTAGAGGCATCATGCATACATAGATTATACATATCATTGAGTGCACATCTGAGTGTTACCTTGTGAAGATACAGCGCATACGCCCACGCATGGCCACCATTGTCATTTCAGTCGACTCGAAGTTCACCTTGTTAAATGGCACACAGTGCCTGGGCTTGTGCTTGTGTGTCCCTGCGCCACACAACTCTGTGTGTTGCCTTGTCATGATACAGCGCAGACGCCCACGCGTGGCCACCATTGTCATTTGCATCGACTGAATAAGTCACCTCGTTAGTCTGCAGCACACAGTGCATGTGCTTGTGCTTTTGTGTCCGGCACTTGTGCGTTACCTTGTCAAGGTACAGTTCTGAAGCCCACGTGGCCACCATGGTCATCTGCGCGCGCTCCTGCTTGGGTAGGTGGTCCAGCTTGTGCAATAAGAAGCTCCTCAGGGCGTCCCACACACACACGCCTATCTGTTTACCTTGTCAAGATACGCCTTCGTGTCCGGCAGATGTGTTACCTTGTCAAGGTACAGTTCTGAAGCCCACGTGGCCACCATGGTCATCTGCGCACGCTCCTGCTTCGGTAGGTGGTCCAGCTTGTGCAGTAGGAAGCTCCTCAGGGCGTCCTGCTGCCCTGCCTCCACGAATTTGAGCGCCACCTCTTCAAATGGCACCTGGTGGGCCGTCTGGAGGAAGGAGCGAGTGTGTGGAGAGAGAGTGAGGCAGGGGGGAGACATGCATTGGTTGTGCTTTGGTGTGGGCAAGGTTTCATGGAAAGGAGCAGAGCAGAGCGCCCTGCTGCCCCGCCCCCACGAATTTGAGTGCCACCTCCTCAAATGGTACCTGGTGGGCCGTCTGGTGGGGGGGAGAGGGTGAAGGGGCCACGCAAGGCAGGCAGGCATGAGTTGATTTGAATGCCGGAAAGGAGAGCAGAGCAGAGCGCCCTGCTGCCCTGCCTCCACGAACTTGAGCGCCACCTCCTTAAAGGGCACCTGGTGGGCCGTCTGGTGGTGGGAGGGAGCAGGTGGAGCGTGGTGGGAAGGATTTGAGTGAGTGCAGGCACGGGGCAAAGCAGCCCATCCTGCTGCTGCTGCCCTGTTTTTATGAATTTGAGCGCCACCTCCTCAAAGGACACCTGGTGGGCCGTCTGGTGGGGGGAGCAGGGAGGGGGCAGGTAATGGTTGTGGTCGGGTGTGGGTAAGGTTTGATTGAAGGGAGAGCGCAGAGCGCCCTTGGAGGCGCCTCAAAAGAGAGCGCAGGGCGCCCTGCTGCCCTGCCTCCACGAATTTGAGCGCCATCTCCTCGAAAGGCACCTGGTGAGCCGTCTGGTGGGGGGAGATGGGGTGGGCGGTGGCGAGAGGTGATGAGTGGTGGTGAACGGTGATGGGAGATAGGGCGGGCAAGCATCCACGAACTTGATACACATGCAATCACTGTGCGGTTGACAAGCGTACCCGAGCAAAGAAGGTGGCGGCTCTTTCATAGTCCCCGTCCTTGAACGCGGATTCAGCTTGGGCGGCATACACCCTGTCGCGCTGCAGGGGCGTGCGGCAGAAGGAGAGGGCCATGGTGTAGTCGTGCCTGTCCAGATACACCTTCATCCTGCCCCAACCACTGTGTGTGTTGTGCAGAAACACGTACCCGAGCAAAGAAGGTGGCGGCTCTTTCATAGTCCCCATCCTTGAACGCTGACTCTGCCTGGGCTGCATATACCCGGTCGCGTTGGAGCGGTGTGCGGCAGAAGGAGAGGGCCATGGCGTAGTCGTGCCTGTCCAGATACACCTGCCACATGGCCCTGCCCTCGTCGCACACAGCAATCTGGGGAGAAAAGACGGTAGAGGGGGGAGCAATTGGGGGAAGAGACGGGAGTTTGTCAGCAGAGCAGCCATGGCGTAGTCATGCCTGTCCAGGTATACCTGCCACATGGCCCTGCCCTCGTCACAGACAGCAATCTGGGTTGGAAAGTTGACAGAGCGAGAAGGGAAGGGAACGGGAGGGAGGGTGTGTGTAAGCACCCATGGCGTAGTCGTGCCTGTCCAGATACACCTGCCACATGGCCCTGCCCTCATCGCACACGGCGATCTGATGCGAAGGGGAGCACAGATAGAAGGAAACGGAAGGACATGGTGAGTGGTGGGTGTAAGCACCCATAGCATAGTCATGCCTGCCCAGATACACCTGCCTGCCACACGGCCCTATTGAAATCACTTTTGAGAATTCTCAAAAGTCATAACATAGTCGTGCCTGCCCAGATACACCTGCCTGCCACATGGCCCTCCTTGATGGAGCAGAAGGCATAGTAGGCACCTCGCATCAGATCATGTCCACACATGCATAATCTATGTCTGCATGTATTCTAGTGACTTCTGAAAATTCTCAAAAGTCACTCGAATTTGCATGCATAATCTATGTGTGCATGTATGTATGCAAGTATGACACACACACACACACACACACGCGCGCGCGCACACGCGCGCACATGCACCTCGTATATGTTGTTGGAGCAGAATGCATAGTAGGCTGAGGCAACCTCGTCAGCAACCAATCCGAGCATGCCACCTGGCGCCATCTCCAGAGCGGTGGCATGAAAGGGCAGCTGATCCACCAGCACCTCGCTCACTTGGTTGACAATCTGTTGACAGGCAGGGAGAAGGTTGGTAGAGCATGGGAGGTGGATGAGTGGGTGGGGGCCCGGGGGAAGCACAGGAAGAGGAAAGTGCGTGTTTGCGTGGAAGGGGAGTTGATCCACCAGAGCCTCGCTCGCTTGGTTCATGATGTTTGGGAGAGGGGAGAGACATGCGAGGTGACTTTTGAGTCGACTCAACAATCTGTGGGAGTGGGGAGAGACATGCGGGAGGGGCACTATTGAGGGAGCGGGTGGTGAGTGTCAAAGGACAGGAGGGGAAAAGGTTGGGGAGAGAGGTGGAAGAACAGGGAAGACGGAATGTGTAGCATGTGCATGATGGCAGGGAGGGCAAAGGCATGCAAGGGCAGCTGATCCACCAGCGCCTCGCTCACTAGGTTCATGATCCGTTGACATGAGGAAAGGGGGAGGGGCAGGCAGGTGTCTTTTGAGGCGCCTCAAAAGGGGGAGGGCAAGGCAGGCGCCTCGCTCACTAGGTTCATGATCTGTTAACATGAGGAAAGGGGGAGGGCAAGGCAGGTGTACCTTCGGATCTTAAAGGCGACCTTGCCTACTGCTGCCCTTCTTCATGAGCACAGAAACATGAGGGAAAGGGGGAGGAGGGCAAGGCAGGTGTACCTTCTCACGCACCCACCCTCCCTCCAATTCCTCCGCCGCCACACCCGCCCCAGCCACCTGATCACCTTGATGTGGTTGTTGTACGCAGAGCAGCCAGAGCCATGCTGCTCTTCCTGCACTGCACTGCACGCCCTCACAGAGTTTATATTGAAGTGACTTTTGAGAATTAACGCACAGGTGTACCTCACAAAAGTCACTCCAATACAACTGCACGCCCTCACAGAGTTCGCTCGCTCGTTGTGAGTTAACGCTGGCAGGCAGAGCACACTAACGGCTGCTCTGCCTGTCAGGAATAACGGCTGCTCTGCCTGCGTTAACTCCCTCCCCACGGGGCCCCATCACACCTTGATGTGATCGCTGTAGAGCAGCAGCAGGTGGAACTCAGACACTGCCATTGCCGTCGGATGCTCCACCGCAGCCGCACCGGCAGCAGCACCAGCACTGTCGTCAGTGTCATCTGCGCTGCTAATGGGACCGGCTGGGAGAAGCTTGGCGAAGGGCAGCAGAGACTTGCGCTGGATGGGGGGCTCTGATGAGGAGCTGGAGGGGGGGGGGAAGGGGCGAGGGTGGGAGAGGGCGGGGAGAGGGCAGGAGACAGGGAGATGAGGGTGTCCCTGTGGGGCACACACAGACAGACAGTGCTGGGAGCAGCTTGGCGAAGGGCAGCAGGGACTTGCGCTGAATGGGGGGCTCTGATGAGGTGCTGGAGGGGGAGGGGGAAGGGGAGAGAGGGTGGGCGATAAGTAGGGGACACTAATGGGACCGGCTGGGAGCAGCTTGGCGAAGGGCAGCAGAGACTTGCGCTGGATGGGGGGCTCTGATGAGGAGCGTGAGAGGAGGCTGCAGGGCGGAGAGGGAGAAGGAGGGCGAAGGAGGAGCGGGAACCAAAGCGATCTTTTGAGGGGAAAATCAGGCATTAGCAGGGTGGGTGACTTTTGAGTCGACTCAAAAGGGACACTGACGGGGCTGGCAGGGAGCAGCGTGGCAAAGAGTGGTAGCATCATGTCATGCACGCATCATGTCGCCCAAATATGCATCATGACGGTAATGACCACTGCACGGATGTTGACAGCATTATCTTTAAGTGGCGGATCTACCCGGAGAACGTGGCGTTGCGGTTGAGGTGCCCGATGAGCACACCAGGACGCTTGAATCACTACCTGAATTACTACCTGATATTTCAAAAACCACCTGATGAAAGTACCTGGAGGAGGTGGCGTTGAGGTTGAGGTGCCCAAACAGCACACCAGGCCCCGCCATCCATGCAAACCCTAAGTCAACTCAATAATCGACTCAAACAGCAGCACCTGTCGCCTGCACATACCTGGAGGACGTGGCGTTGAGGTTGAGGTGGCCGAAGAGCACGCCAGGCCCCGCCATCCATGCAAACCGCTCTGCGTACCGCTGCTGGCGACCAAAGAAGTGCAGCGAGCTGAGGGGTGATAACGGCAATGGCGGGGGGAAGGGAGGGAGAATGGAAGGGAGCCGTGCGAGCGTATGAGCGTTAGACGACGCTGGCTGGCAGATCAATGAGCTTGGGCAGCTGCTGAGACGCAAAGGGCTTCTGACACTTCTCAAAACTCGATAAGGTTCTCTTTGAGTGGGGCAGAAGAGAGGAGAGCGCGAGGAATCAAATGAATGAGCGCCATACCTTGCAATTAGTGGGGACAAGGCTGGAAGCTCGATGAACTTGGGCAGTTGAGATGCGAAGGGTGACTTTTGAGAACCCTTAAAGCTCAAAAGCCGTTTCTGAGACGTCTCAACAGTTGTATGCTTGTCTGTCTGTCTGTCTGTCTGTCTGTCTGTCTGTCTGTCGGTACCTTGGTATGAGGGGGGATGATGCGGGCAGCTCGATAAACTTGGGCATTTGAGATGAGAAGGGTGCAAAGGTGGCCTGCAGTTTGAGAGGGGGCGAAAGAGGGGGGGGGGGAAGGAGAGCAAAGGGACATCTAGTGTGGGAAGCAATGGAAGAAAACGATTGGAGCAAGGAGGAGGGAAAAGAGTTAGCAGCGGGAGAAATGGATGATGGGACTGCAGGAAATTGACTTTTGAGTCGACTCAAAAGAAATGGATGATGGGACTGCAGGAAATCCTCTGAAAGCAGGAAATGAGTTAGCAGCGGGAGAAATGGAACACAGAAAACAAAAAGAGGAAGCGGGGGAGAATTGAACGCAATTGCTTGACCTCAATAATGCCAACGCATGCCTCAATCCTTACCTCTCCTACTGCTTACTTGATGTGACTGACTAACCTCGAGAGACGTGGAGCCGACAAAGGCAAGGAGGCGAGTGGCTGTGGCGGCCAGGACGAAGAAGCGCTGAGATGATGCGCCTGGCGCAGTTGTACCTCCCCCGGCTCCTCCTCCCCCTGCAGAAAAACCTCCCCCTGATGAGCCTCCCCCGTGTAATCCCAGCACTTCCATCTGGGGTTGTATTCAGGGCAGTGATTGGTGGAAAGATGCAGGAAGGGAGGATTAGAGGCGCTGCCCTTCGATTTAAAGCACATTTATTCAATATAGTCTTCCAATAATAGTGGGCAATTTCCTTCGATATAGGTGCACTGCCTTCCTTTAAGAGCACATACCTGGATGCCCCGAAAGGGGCACTTTTCAGCGTCGGGCAATTCGAAGAGCAGCTTCAGCGGGCGGTCTCGCTTGTCTGCTTCCTCGAACGCCGCCTCGTAGAGCCGCCCGCCCTCCGTGGCGAGAATGATCTCCCGCGTGCTGCCTGGCGTGGAGAGAGATGGTGGGGGTGAGACGTGGTGCAGAGTGGTTCAAAGCGGCGCAGGCATGCCATGGGATGGATAGGCATGGGTGGTCTAGAGTAATCTCCTGCATGCTGCCTACCGTGGAGAGAAGGGGGGGGGGGGTGAGACGTGGTAAAGAGTGGTGCATAATGGTGCAGTGCGGTGCAGAGCGGCACAAAACAAAGGATACCATCATCATGTGCCATGCCATGTGGTTCACTCTCCACACCATATCCATTCCATCGCCCCATCATACCAGCCCAGCATGAATTCCCCAAATCTCCACCACACATACCATCATGTGCCATGGGAGCAGGCTGCCATGCCACAGCAGCAACAGCCCCAATGGCCATGCGACGGAGTGCCACATGCTCCACTCCTCATGTCCCATGCCCCATACTCAACCACCCCCGCACATACCATCATGTGCCATGGGAGCAGGCTGCCACGCCACAGCAGCCACAGCCCCGATTGCCATGCGATGCCGTGCCACATGCCGCGCGCGCTGCCACCCCCCATGCACATACACCACATCCCAGTACGTCCCTGCTGCATACATCCCTGCCACCGCTCCCCCCGTCCCACTGCCACTCCCATGCCCATGCCCATGCCCATGCCCACTGCTGCCACTCCCACTGCTACTGCTGCTGCCACTTGCCCTGCTGCCGCCGCTATTGCTGCTGGTCGTTGGGGGTGTTGCGGGGGCGCCGAGGGGCGTGTGTTGCAGCACGGCGAGTGTGTGGCGGCCGCCCGGGTCAACGAATACGCTCTTCACGTGTATGCGGTAGGACCCGTTGATGGGGGTTGCAGATGGGTACGAGGAGGTGGTGGAGGAGGAGGAGGAAGAGTCTGGGGGGATGTAAGACGCTAGGTTGATCTCTGAAGAAGGTGGCACGGGTTAGGAGGTGGGCGGGAGAGAGAGGGGACAAGGAAGGGAAGGGAAGGAGAGAGATGGAAGAGGGGAAGACGGGAAGTGGGTTTAGAAGTCAGGTCAGGCAAGGAGACTATTGCGTCGACTCAAGATGTAGGATGCTAGGTTGATCTCTGAAGAAGGTGACAAGGTTAGGAGGCGGGAGGGAGAGGGGAGGCGGGGAGGAAGGGAGGGAGGTAGGATGGAGAGTGAGTGTATGAAGGTCGGGAAACACAGATCTTCACATTGCTGCTGCTCACCACTGCGCTGCTCTTTTCTGAGGTGCCTCGACAATGGAATCGCACCCATTCATCCCACGCCCACCCACCCGCCCGCCCGCCCGCCCGCCCGCCTGCCCACCTGCCAGCTCATCATTCAGGAAATCATATCGCACGAGCCAGCCGTCGGACGTGCCCACCGCCACCACGGAATTGCCGGCCGCGCCGCTTCCCCCTGCCGTCCACCCTCCTTACTTCATTCATGAATTCCTCCCCTCCATCCCTGGCCTGCCACGTCATCCCACCCACCTGCCAGCTCATCATTCAGAAAGTCGTATCGCACGAGCCAGCCGTCAGAAGTCCCTACGGCAACCACGGAGTTGCCCGCGGCGCTGCACGTGATGCGCCCATGGCCCAGCGCCGCGTGGGCTTTAAGCACCTCCACGCTGAACAGAGGCTCGTTCGAGTCGCTGAACCGCTGCTGCTGCTGCTGCTGACGTGGCTGTTGCTGACGTGGCTCATCCTCGTCCTGAGGACCGGGTTGTTAAGGGGGAGCGGTTGGTTAGGGGTGGGGGAAAAGGAGTGGTGCAGAGCGGTGAGGAGTGGTTATAGCAAGTACATTGCAATGCGGCGCCCCGCACGTGATGCGGTGCGGCGGCCGTGGCCCAGCGCTGCATGGGCTTTAAGCACCTCCACGCTGAACAGCGGCTCGCTCGAGTCGCTGAACCGTCGCTGCTGCTGCTGACGTGGTTTGCCTTCGTCCTGAGGCTGGGTTGTTTAGGGAGGAGCGGGAGGAGGAAGAGTGGTGCGGGGTGGAGAAGGAAAGGGAACGGTGAGGGGCGGTGGGGAGCGGTAAGGAGCGGTAAGACCATCGCGTCGTTGAGTTGCGCCGTCAAGCCGTATGACCTACCGCGCCGTATCCTTGGTAGCCATATTGCCCGCCGTAACCCCCGCCGTGATTCCCGCCGTAGTTTCCGCCGACTACGACCCGCTCCCGCTCGTCCTCCCAGTCGTCCAACATCGAGCCGCGTTGATGCTGGGGTGGAGGTAAAGGGTAGGAACGACTTCTAGATAGTGGTGAACGACTAGCTACGTGATGTACATAGTGTCGCGTGATTGGCTGCAGCTAATGGGTCGCAGCTCGCGGGATAGACAAAAAGTTTTATAATATTTATTGAGGCTCGTGAAACCAGCCGCCCTAGCTCAGTTGGTAGAGCGCAAGGCTCTTAACCTTGTGGTCGTGGGTTCGAGCCCCACGGGCGGCGCACTTTTGCCTTCGGCGTGCTCAGCCCCTCCCGCTTGTTTTTGCCCCTCGCTTCTTCCCGCCCCACCTCCCCTCCCAATCCAGCCCAACCATTGCAATTGCTCGTAGCCTATCTGCGCCATTCTCGCCGCACTTTCCGCGACCAGCTATCGCTCGACCCTAGATAGTATTTCTCCGTCGACATGCTGTTACAAATGGCGTCGTCCTTTTCGCTCGCGCTTTCGCCGCCGGTTTCTCGCGCCCACGTGCCAGCAACGGCACAGCTCTCTTGCGACTCTCCTAGCAAATGTCGCCCTGCCTCGTCCAATGCCATGCAGACACGTGGCATATCGTTCTCTTCCTGCCACCACCAACGCGGTGCGAGGTTGAATAGTAGGGGTGGAAATAGGTCCACGTGTCGCCACGTCAGCAGGAGAGCGGTAACAACGGCAACGGCGGCGGCGGCGATGTCGGGAGGAGGAGACATGCGCGTCTCGTCGTTCGCGAAGGAAATGGAGCGAGTCGCCGCTAAAGAGGCGCTGCTACTTGCCGTACGCGTTATACGCATTTCCCCCCCTTCCAAGTCAAATTTTCAAGTTCAAGTTGCAGCACTGTGCTTTCGTTTTCGCCGAAACCCCCAGAGAACGGTTTTTTCTCCCTCTGCTCTTTCCTCACCTCTCTACCGCCAAATTCCCTCTATCTTCTCCGTTTGCTCCACCTACTCCCCCATTCTCCGCAGATTAAAGATGCAGGCGGTGTGGAGTCCCTATCCACAGGGCAGGGCAATGCAGCAGGGAAGATTCAAGTGTCTGAGAGAGTGGTGGCTCTAGAGCGACTCAACCCAACCACCCGCCCCACCAGGTGCAGTGAATTGCGGTTATCACAAGGTAAAGTAGGGTTACCATGCGGGGGAGTAGGGTTACCACATGCACAGGGCAACGCAGCCGGGAAATTTCAAGTGTCGGAGAGGGTGCTGGCTCTAAAGCGACTCAACCCCACTACCCGCCCCACCAGGTCTGACAGCAGGGTTACATTACAGAAGTAGGGTTACCACCATAAGCAGCAATGCGGTTACCACATGCACGGGCAACGCTGCGGGGAAGACACAAGTGTCCGAGAGAGTGGTGGCTCTGGAGCGACTCAACCCCACCACCCGCCCCAGCAGGTATGGTAAAATAGGTTTACCCCTTCCCTTCTCTTCCCTGCCCCCTGTCCCCTGCCCCCTTCCCCCTTCCCCCTTTCCCCTTTCACCCTTCTCTCTTCCCCCCGCCCCGCCCCCGCCCCGCCCCCGCCCCTGCCCACCAGCTCCCCCCGACTGGAGGGTTATCGGGACTTTGTGTGGGGGGGAGCGACGAGCCTCCTGCCAGGCGCCTCATGTTTGAATTTTGACGGGTTCGAAACGCTGCAAGCCTGCTAAGGGTGCTTTTGAGAACTCTCAAAAACATCCTGCCAGGCGCCTCATGTTCCCCGCTGCCCCCTTGCCCCTCCCCCGCCCCCTGCTCCTGCCCCTTAACCCTCCCCTCTCCCCTGCTCCTTGCTCCTTGCCCCTCCCCCTGCCCCCTCCCCCCGCCCCCTGCCCCCTGCCCCCTGCTCCTGCCCCTTGCCCCTCCCCTTCCTCCTACCCCTTGCCCCTCCCCCGCTCATTCCGCCCTGCCCCGCCGCCACCCACCAGCTCACCCCTGTTGGAGGGCTATTGGGACTTTGTGTGGGCGGGAGCGCAGAGCCCTGGACTCATTGCCGCCCGCCTTGTGCTACAGTGAGTCGCTGCGTGCCGCCCACCCTGTCCTGCAGTGAGTATGCTGTGCAATTCCATCGGTTTGATGTGCTGGAACGGAACGCGTTCACCTTGGTGTAAAACATCATATCCCCCTTTCCCTTTTCCTACCCCCTTTCGCTACCGTCACACCACCCACAGCCTGTCTACCCCCGCAGCTGACCTCGCTGCAGGCCCTGCAGTTGCACATCATCATCTCCTAAACCAGCACACACATATCATCTTACCCTACCCTCCTACCACCGCTTGTAGGGCACGTAACCCCGCAGCTGGCCGCGCTGCAAGCCCTATAGCTGCACATCATGCCTTGAGAGTCGATATCTTCCCCCTCCTTTTCCCCTGCTCCCCCTTTGGTACCCACCACCTCCAGGCGCCTACCCCCCCAGGTGGCGTCGCTGCAAGCCCTGCAGCTGCACATCATGCCTGGCAGCACCATCACCGCCACAGCAGTCGTTCGATTCCTCAATGTGGTAAGTTGCTGGTGGGTGGTTGGTTAGAAGGCATGTGTGATGATCGCATGTTTGACCGCGGATGGTGTGGTGTAGTGATAGCATGCGCTCCAAGCCGTGTTTTGAGTCGACTCAAAACACGGCTCATTTTGAGCCGACTCAAAACATGTGTGATCACGGATGGTGCGGTGTGATGACAGCATGCACTGCACGCCCTGCAGCTGCACATCATGTCCGGTAGGCAGCACCGTCACCGCCACAGCAGTCGTTCGATTCCTCAATGCTGTGAGTAGCTAGCACGGTCGCGTGTAACCTGTATGGTGTGTATGTGTTGCTCCTACATGCAATCAATGCCGCCACCGCCACCACCGCCGCCACCGCCGTTGCCACCACCACCACCCATCGTCCAAACATGCACGTTATGGTAACATATGTGTTATAGTAACTTGGCGTTATGGTAACATATGCGTTATGGTAACCGGTATGTTATGGTAACATGTGCATTATTGTAACATGTGCGTTATAGTAACATGTGCTTTATGGTAACATGTGCGTTATGATAACAAGTGCGTTATGGTAACAGGTTGGTTATGGTGATAGTTGCGCTATGGTAACAGGTGCGTTATGGTAATACGTGTGTTATGGTAACAGGTGCGTTATGGTAACAGGTGCGTTATGGTAACATGTGCTTTATGGTAACAGGTGCGTTATGGTAACATGTACGTTATGGTAACAAGTGCGTTATTGTAACAGGTGCGTTATGGTAACATGTACGTTATGGTTATATGTGCGTTATGGTAACAGGTGCGTTATGGTAACAGGTGCGTCATGGTAACTGGTGCGTCATGGTAACAAGTGCGTTATGGTAATGTGTGTTATGGTAACAAGTGCGTTATGGTAACAGGTGATTTATGCCCATGCCCATGCCCATGCCTATGCCCATCAGGCCGAGTCCAACGTAATCATCAAGTCGAAGCTTGAAATGGAAGACTCACTTAAGTAAGCTCCCTCTGACTTGCCTCCCTTCTATCGTTAAGATACCTCCCTCTTTCCTGTCTCCTCCTCCTCCCTCCTTGACTCGCCCATTCAGCTTCTCACCTCCTCCATGCAGCCTCCTTCCCTCCTCTGCCCTTTTCCTCCATCTCCCTCTTCTCCGCGTCAACACCCTCCCTAGTCTCTTCATCACCGATCCACTTTACCGTCTTGGATTTGGTACGATCACCCCGTCCCTCTCCACCACACTCCACCGCACTCCACTGCATTCCACAACATACCGACCAGGCTCAAGGAGGAGTACGCGGAGATCGAGGTGACCACTCCCATCGTGACAGGTGGAAGCATCCCAGCGCCCCTCACAGCCATTGTGGATCAGCTCTCCTCTCTCCTCAAGTCGCTCCCTGCTGCGCTGCAAGACACCATCAACGCCGGCCTGCGTGTGCCCCTCGGTCAGTCTCTCTGTCCTTTCCCCTCCCCCTACTGTTCATTCCCCCTTCCCCACTTCCCGCTCCCCACGCTTCCACCTCCCCCTCTCGCATCCTAACCCTCGCTCCTCTCTCCTCAAGTCACTGCCCGCTGCTCTGCAAGACACCATCAATGCTGGCCTGCTCTGCAAGACACCATCAATGCTGGCCTGCTCTGCAAGACACCATCAATGCTGGCCTGCTCTGCAAGACACCATCAATGCTGGCCTGCGTGTTCCCCTCTGTCATTCTCCCCCGGCCACTCAAGTGCATTTAAAAAGCACTTATTTGAGGCGCCTCAAAATGCACTTATTTGAGGCGCCTCAAAATGCACTTAAATGGCCTGCGCGTTCCCCTCTGTCATTCTCCCCCGGCCACTCCTCCTACCCTCTCCTCTCATTCTCCACCTCCCCTCCCTCAAATCCCTCACACTATGCCCGTCACACTCCTCCCCCCACACTCTTTTCCGCCATGCTTGCCATTCAGATGGGCGATATTCAAGAGAGCTCCATGTTTCTGAGTCGACTCAGAAATCGGCTCCTCCCCTCATACCCTTTCCCTCGCATTCCCTCCTCTCCTTCCTCTCCTTTATGGTGTGCTTGCCATGCAGATGGGCGATACTCACGAGAGCTCCTCGTGTCGTACCTGGATGATGAGCTTATGGTGAGAATGGGGAGGTGGGGGAGGGGGTAGAGGGGGAAAAAAAGGGTAGGCAGGTGGAGTGTGGGGGGTGAAGGGATGGGCGTTACTCGAGAGAGCTCCTCGTGTCGTACCTGGATGATGAGCTCATGATAAGTAGAAAGGTGGGATGGGGGAGGGATGGGGTGAAAGGGGAAGGAGAGGGGGAACGAGGGTTGATGGAAGGATACTCACGAGAGCTCCTCGTGTCGTACCTGGATGACGAGAGCATGGTGAGCGCGGGGAGGGGTGGGGCAGAAGGGTTTGTGGGGGAAGGGGACGGGAGGCAGTTGGGAAGAAGGGGAAAGGGGATGGGCGATACTCACGAGAGCTCCTCGTGTCATACCTGGATGATGAACTCATGGTGAGCACGGGGTGGTGGGGGACGGAGAAGGGGGTGGAAGAAAAGGGAGGCAGGCGAGGGGTGTGGATGAAGGGGAGGGTGGGAGGTGAATGGGAGATACTCACGAGAGCTACCCGTGTCATACCTGGATGATGAGAGCATAGTGAGAACGGGGAGGGGGATGTGGGAGGGGGGGGCAGGTATGGATGGGGTGGGGAGGGGAGGGGTGCGAGCTGACAGTGAGGGGTGGGTGGGCCACAGCGAGCGACTAAGATTGTGGTGTGGATTCTTTGACCTCCTCACCCTGTGTCTACACTCCAGGTTGCGCGTGACGAGGCAGGGCTGGTGGATGTGTTGGTGCGAGCTGACAGCGAGGGGTGGGTGGGCCGCAGCGACGACGAGGGGGGAGTGAATTCCTTCACGGACGATCCCACTGATTACATCAGCTGACTAATCATTATGGAATACCGTATATGTTTCTGTTGATCTGTGGGGAAAACACATCGAGTTGGAAATCAGATTATAAATACGCGGGTTTGACAATGTATGAATATTATTCTGACTAGATAGTCGCGTTTTTTACACACGCTTATGGTACCTCCACCGCCACCAGCAGGTTTAGATGCTCTGAGTTGGCCCATGTTGAACCTAGCCTCTTTTGTAAAGCATGGCATGAGGCCTCCAAGGGACAAGTGAGTCGACCCAGCGGGGCTTGCTTTTGCTAGCAGCAGATGCAGGTGCAAACGTGGGCATGGTCACAAGGGATAGAGGACATAACGGGAGTGGATGAGAGCACAAATTTGGTTGCTTTGAGTTGAGTCGAGCTGCGTTGGCTGTCAGAATCCCAGCCACTAACCACTGGGATAAAAGAGCTTCTTTGTGTAGCGGGTGAGTGCGCCCATAACCCCCCGGACCGACGTGCTTGTAACCCTTCCCTATGATCAATTGGGGATCACCAATGGACCTCTGACACCCCCCACACACAGGGAGGCCCGAGGTGCACACACTGGGATTCGAACCCGATACCTTCGCTCTTATACCATGTCAGAAACCCAGCCACTAACCACTGGGATAAAAAGGGCTTGTTTGTGTAGTGGGTGAGTGCGCCCATAACCCCCTACGCCGACGTGCCTGTAACCCTTCCCTAGGATCAATCGGGGATCACCAGTGGACCTCTGACATTGGCCCCCACATTTTTGTTGTTGCTGCCCATACTGGTGATTATCGGCGCCAGTGCAGATAAGGATTTGGTGAGGACGTGGAAATGGAGCGAACGATTAAAAGCATAGGAGGAAAATAGTTCAAAACCTCGATTCAGTCGATCCGTTTAATTCAAAACAGCAGACTCTTTTCTTGCAAGCAACATCTCTTCACTTGCTCGAAGCTCCTCCACCAGCGACATCTCTATCGTATCTTGCTTGCCCTGCCAGCTGGCACAGGGACCAACTCGACTGGCCCACTCCGAAGCTGGCAAGTTCCATTGGTTCACGTTGCAACTTTCGATGGTAGCTGTAGATTCGGCGTCACCCCCAGCCACAAGCATGGAAGTCATCTCATACAAACCCATACACAAAGATGAATAAGAAGATGGCACATCATTGTCAACATCATCCCAGCTCTCCCCTTTGAAAAAAAGGTGGCATGGCAGTGTCTTTCTAACTCCATCGGGTTTCCATGGAGATCATGGATCCCCATTCCAGACTCCCCAACCCACCCTCTAACACTCTCCCCATTGCATCATGGTTCCCTTACATGAAATTGGAGGTCATGTGGGGATGGGATTGAGGGAAATGTCACAGAAGCAACAAGAGCATCTGCAATAATGCAAGCATCAGCAGAAGTAGTGTATATAATTTTGGATATGAGAATTGATAGTTGGGTACAACAAATAAGAATTCCACAAAATCGTATTACAGTAGTTGACACGATGAATCTTGGGAAAATATGTAAATGGTAGCTTACATGGGGCACTACAACACGTACGGTAATGATTTCAACGCATTTGGTAACTCGCTTAACACGTTTGGTAACTCGCTTAAATCGTTTGGTAACCCGCTTAACGCGTATGGTAACTGAACACAGGCGAGTGATCACGCGAATGGTAACTACATGAAACTCCTGTCAGAATATATCTGTAACTGCCTGTAGTTGTAGTTAGTGTAGTTATTATAAACTTTGTTTGGTGGTGCACCTTCTTTGTTTCCTTTGCTATATGTTCTTGCAAACCTGTAGTGAAGACCCCTTTTTCTCCTCTCTCAACTTTCTCGACACTCTCCTCAACCCTAAACTCGATCTCTAAGAACTCACTAGCAATGACTCCTAAGCCTACTAAACTCTAGGAACTTCAACATGGTATTCAGAGCAGGTACTTTCCTGCTGCCTTCCTGCTTCCGCTGCCTATCGTCCTGCCGCGCGCCTCGGGCGCGCGGCGTAGGCGCACGGCGATTTTCTGCCCGCGCGTGGCCTGCCCTCACGCCGCCTGCGCGCCTGCCTCACGTCCACGCGCGGGCCTGTTTTGCCCGCCCGTACCCTCCACTTCGCGGCGCCCTGCGAGGCGCCGCTCCTGCTCGTCGCGACGCACCTGCGGGACCCGGGCGTCGCCGCTCCTGCTCGTCGCGACGCCCCTGCAGGACCCGCACGGCGTCGCCTTGCTCGTCGTGACGCCACTGCGGGACCCGCGGGGCGTCGCCACTGTTCGTCGCGGCGCCCCCTGGACGCCGCCCCTGCTCGTCGCGGCGCCCCTGGGGCGTCGCCCCTACTCGTAGCGGCACCCCTTGGGCGCCGTTCCTACTCGTCGCGGCGCCCTCCCCCCTGGCCACCACCTCTGCCTCACCTGCGCCCGCGCCAGCGTTGCAGCCGAGCGCGGGCCTACCTTGCACCAGCGCCGCCCCTGGACCTCAGCAGCAGCCCCTGGAGCAGCCGCCCCAGCAGCAGCAGCCCCTGGAGCCGCCGCCCCAACAGCAGCAGCCCCTGGAGCCGCCGCCACTGCAGCGGCCGCCCCAGCAGCAGCAGCGCCTGGAGCAGCCGCCCCAGCAGCAGCAGCCCCTGGAGCCGCCGCCGCAACAGCAGCAGCCCCTGGAGCCGCCGCCACTGCAGCGGCCGCCCCAGCAGCAGCAGCGCCTGGAGCAGCCGCCCCAGCAACAGCAGCCCCTGGAGAAGCCGCCCCAGCAACAGCAGCCGCCTCTGGACCCTTCGAGCCGCCCCAGCAGCAGCCCATGGCGCCGACCCCACAGCTGTATGCACCGCTGCTCCTAGACTCGGTACGGGCGCCCTTGCCTGTGCTGCCTGTTGCTGCCTATTTTGCCGCCCGTTGCTGCCCGTGCCTGTGCTGCCTGTTGCTGCCCGTGCCTGTGCTGCCCGTTGCTGCCTGTTGCTGCCCGTGCCTGTACTGCCCGTTGCCGCCTAATGCTGCCCGTGCCTGTGCTGCCCGTTGCCGCCCGTTGCTGCCCGTGCCTGTACTGCCCGTTGCCGCCCGTTGCTGCCCGTGCCTGTGCTGCCCGTTGCCGCCCGTTGCTGCCCGTGCCTGTGCTGCCTGTTGCTGCCCGTTGCTGCCCGTGCCTGTGCTGCCTGTTGCTGCCTGTGCCTGTGCTGCCCGTTGCTGCCTGTTGCTGCCCGTGCCTGTGCTGCCCGTTGCCGCCCGTTGCTGCCTGTGCCTGTGGTGCCCGTTGCCGCCCGTTGCTGCCCGTGCCTGTGCTGCCCGTGCCTGTGCTGCCTGTTGCCGCCCGTTGCTGCCCGTGCCTGTGCTGCCTGTTGCTGCCCGTGCCTGTGCTGCCTGTTGCCGCCCGTTGCTGCCTGTGCCTGTGCTGCCCGTTGCCTCCCGTTGCTGCCCGTGCCTGTGCTGCCCGTTGCCGCCCGTTGCTGCCCGTGCCTGTGCTGCCCGTTGCCGCCCATTGCTGCCCGTGCCTGTGCTGCCTGTTGCCGCCCGTTGCTGCCCGTGCCTGTGCTGCCTGTTGCTGCCCGTGCCTGTGCTGCCTGTTGCCGCCCGTTGCTGCCTGTGCCTGTGCTGCCCGTTGCTGCCTGTTGCTGCCCGTGCCTGTGCTGCCCGTTGCCGCCTGTTGCTGCCCGTGCCTGTGCTGCCTGTTGCCGCTCGTTGCTGCCCGAGCCTGTGCTGCCTGTTGCTGCCCGTGCCTGTGCTGCCCATTGCCGCCCGTTGCTGCACGTGCCTGTGCTGCCTGTTGCAGCCCGTTGCTGCCCGAGCCTGTGCTGCCTGTTGCTGCCCGTTGCTGCCCGTGCCTGTGCTGCCCGTTGCCGCCCGTTGCTGCCCGTGCCTGTGCTGCCCGTTGCCGCTCTGCTGCTGTCCGCGCCCTTGTGCGCTCTGGTCTGCCTGCGCCCTCGTGCGCTCTGCTGCTGCCCGCGCCCTCGTGCGCCCTGCTGCTACCCGCACCCTTGTGCGCTCTGTTCTGCTCTGTCGCCCCAGCCGTGGAACGGAGGCTCTGGGGGTGGCGGGTATGGGGGTGATGGGTGTGTGTGATCCCCTTCCCCTCCTCCTCCTTTCTCTCCCACTGCTGCAGCTGCTGCTGGGGGGGGGTGGGTGTGAGGGTGTGGGGGAGCTGGGGGAGAGGTGCTAGGGTTGTCAAGGAGTATGGAAGGGGGAGTTGGAGGACTGAGGAAGGTTCCAGGAAGCAGCCACCTTGGAGCCAACAGCTTCACCTGCCAGCAGCCTCTCCTCATATAGTCCCTCCTCCTCACTTGCCCTCTCCTTCTGCTGCGCTTGGTGTACCCCTTCAGGGGGTGTCTCTGCATTAGCTTCTACTGCAGGCAGTTATGGGGGAGTCTCATAATATATATGTAACTGCCTGTAGCTGTAGTTAGTGTAGTTATTAGAAACTTTGTTTGGTGGTGCACCTTCTTTGTTTCCTTTGCTATATGTTCTTGCAAACCTATAGTGAAGACCCCTTTTTCTCCTCTCTCAACTTTCTCGACACTCTCCTCAACCCTAAACTCGATCTCTAAGAACTCACTAGCAATGGCTCCTAAGCCTACTAAACTCTAGGGACTTCAACAACTCCCACCGAAAATGATCCCGAAATTAAAGAATTTATCGACTTTGAAAGCTTTTACGCACATTTTCATCTTTCTTGAACAAGTCCCGCCGCGACTTTGAAGGACCCCGTTTGTTCTATTACCACGGACCAAACAGTTTCAGAGCCGTTTGATATACATATATATAGCTCGTACAAAAACGGTTAAAATCATATTTTTGATAGCATGATTGCGAACTTGCAAAATGATTAAAAAAAACACATTCCGCGAAAGGACCTCGGGGCCTTTACGTTTTTGTAATTACTGCAACGTTGGCCATTTTTTCATGTGAGAAAAATACACCTCTTTAAAATTACATGTTTCATTTTTTTTTAAGAACCATAAACGCCTTGTCGCAAAGAGTTTAGGGTTGATGATCTCAAATTCATTTACCATCTGAAAGGGGTATATATTGTGGAGATTAGAACGAGAATGAATGACTAAGGAATGAAAGTGATACAAATATGAAACCCTAGAATTGTGTACCTCTTAGTGTCTAACCCGCTACAGCGTACACAGGCTAGATCATATAAGTTTGACACACCCCCATAGGCAAAGTGGGGGAGAACAAGGGGTCACAAGACCAGTCAAGCAAAGCAAGGCAAATCAAGCTCAGGGTGGATCACAACGTCACCACACATTCTGAGCACAAGTCAAGGCCACAAGGCCAGTTCACATGCATGATTATATATATAAATATATATAACTCTAAACAAGCAAGAGCATGTATATATATATACATATATATATATGTGTGTAACAGTACAAGCAAGGTCAAGAAGTGAGCAAGTGATGCAAGGTAGGCACAAGACCTAACAGAGTACAGAAGCGCTGATGATCACAAGGCGCGAGTGCCTTGGTGAAGATATCAGCAGTGTTGGCCTCAGAGGCCACGTAAGCAAGGCGCAGCTGACCGCGCTGCTGCAGCTCACGAGCAAGAAAGTAGCGAAGAGCGATGTGCTTCGTTCTGTGCTCCAGTCTGTGCTCCCGACACAAGGCCAGCATGGCCTTGTTGTCTACGTACAGAACTGGAGGAGAACGAGGCGACTCTCCCAGATCAGTTTGCAGGTAGGTGAGCCAGCGTAGCTCCTGTGCAGCCATGGCCCCTGCGTAGATCTCAGCCTCACAACTGGAGCCGAGAACAGAAGACAAGCGGGTAGATCGCCACGAAACAGAGCCGGAACCAAGGCTGAAGGTGTAACCCTGTGACGACCGCTGTGTAGCATCGTCGTCAGCCCAAGAAGCGTCTGCGTGACCAGTGAGGACCACTGGACTCCGCCCTCCAAGCACTAGCCCCATGCTCGACGTACTGCACAAGTAGCCATGTGCTCTGGTCTGTGTCTCCCAAGAGCAACATAGCGTGCCAGAATGCTAAGAGGGTATGCAAGGTCAGGTCGAGTGCAGGTCATCAGGTACATGAGGCAGCCAACAAGCTCTGAATACGGGCCACTCGACTCTACGGACTCATCCGAAGGCAGAGCTCAGAGCGAGTGGCGAGTAGACAGAGGAGTGGCCTGAGGCGAGGAGTACGTGAAGCCGAAGCGGTGAAGGACCTGCTGCACCATGTGTGACTGAGTCAGAGTAATGGTGCACTGTGCTCTGTCCCGGGTGATCTGCAAGCCAAGGTAGTTGCGCAGTTCACCTAGGTCTGTGCACGTGTGTCTCTTTTGCATCTCGGACTTCACGTAGGCGAGTCCAGCAGTGTCAGCTGTGGCAAAGACCAAGTCGTCGACGTACACAAGGATGTAGAACGGCAGCAAAGAGGTGTTGGTGCGCAGAAACAGCGACGGGTCGGCAGTAGAAGGAGCAAACCCAAGAGCCGCAAGTGTAGTCCTCAGTCTGTCGTGCCACTCACGAGGTGCCTGGCGAAGACCGTAGACTGGCCGCGGGAGGCTCCACTGGGTGCCAGGAGGAAAAGTCCCAGTGAAGCCAAGTGGGCGGCGCAGCCAGATCTCCTCGTGCAGGCTGCCCTTCAAGAAAGCACTGCTGAAGTCAAGAGAGTGAAGCTCGTAGTCACGGTGAGCGGCTATGTGCAGCAGTACCCGAAGAGTGGTCATCTTCGGGGTGGGAGAGATGGTCTGAAAGTAGTCAACTCTCCGTCGCTGACTGAAGCCACGAGCCACGTAATGCGCCTTGAAAACAGGCGGAGAACCCTGCGGCCGCTTCACCGTGAAAATCCACATGCCACTGACGATGTTCGCCCCAGGCAGGGGAACCTCGTCAACGTAGGTGCCTGTGGACTTCTAGGAAGCTATCTCTGCGTCCATGGCTGCCTGCCACTGAGAGGAGTAGGGACCCTCTATCGCCTCCGCGTAAGAGCGCGGAGTCGGGATGTCTGGTGCATCCGGGTCTCCCTCAGGGGCAAGTAGCATGGACACGAGATGAGGTGAAGCAGCCGCAAGACACTGGAGGTCCTCTTGTCTGTCCTCAATGACGTCCGTGCCAAGAGCACACTCACCCCCGACGGATGGAGGACAGACAGACGCAAACTCAGTAACCAGACTATCAGCGTAGTCTAGACGACAGGGAGCAACGAAGTCGACAAGCTCAGCAACTAGGGCAGACGCAGCAGTGGACTCAAAGGAAGGGCCAGTGACGACAGTAGCAAGGAGACGCGTGACACTAGGACTTGCAACACGAAGGGAGTCTGACTCCGGGTCAGCAAGAGCAGGAAGAGAGGACTCAGGCGGAGAAGGCAAAGGGGCACGAAGAGGAGCAGTGGACGGACGCAAAGACATCCGGTGCATGCCGAGGATGGGGGGAGGACGCTGACGCGAACCACAACCACCAGTGCGAGCAGCACGGACAGGTGACGCAGGACGAGACGCAGGCTCACGACGCTCAACAAGACCTCCAGTAGGACCAGTGTAGGGAGAAGGAGCAGGCAGAGGAGAGGTAGGCTATTATTGTGACTCAGACCGGACAGGCGGTGGACACTCTAAGGGAGGAGCCGGACTAGTGGAGGGCGGAAGACCAAGAACCTGCTCAAGGAGCGAAACGAAGTACGGTCGCGGCCGTGCAGCACCCCCAGAACCAGCAGGAACAGCGCCAGCACCACGAACGGCAGCACCAATGCCAGCAACACCAACGCCAGCACCCTCAGAAGCACCAGCACCAGAAGGGACAGCACCAGCGCCAGCAGCACCCCCAGCTCCAGCAGCGCCAACGCTAGCACCCTCAGGGGCACTGTCGGAGATACAGCTCTACCCTCATCATTTGCCTTAGTCCTCATGCTCTTCGTCCCTTAGCTCCTCATGAAAGTGACCGAACTCTCACCTCTAAGGTCCTCCCTGAGTGGTGTGCCACCCGCCTGCTCTGGTGAGGTGACAACAGTCCACTATACGAAAGGATAACAAACAGAAAGCATCAGAGGTGTGTGTGAGAGTGAACTTACCTGACCCTGGCTCGAACCGTGCATTTCTCAATGTGCGGCTTGAGCCTAGGTTGGTTCGTTCTCATTGGTTGCAAGGTTTTCACCCAAGGTGCTCTCCTACCAACTTCGCGTCAATTTCCCAGCTCCCACCTACCTATCCTCGAATTTGCAAACACAACATAGCTACACCTCCACTACACCACCATGATTCTGGCACCTTATATGCACAACCGTGCATATTCGGTGACAGCTATCGGAGATACAGCTTTACCCTCATCATCTGCCTTAGTCCTCATGCTCTTCGTCCCTTAGCTCCTTCGGTTGCCTCAGCCACTCTCTGCCCCCTCCTGTGCCCGTGCTCGAGCGGCTTGAGCGCGAGTCACAGGACCATTACGCTGAGGCCCGGTCCCTCTGATCACTGCAGTGTTCATCTGATGTTCCCTCAGCTGCGCTCCGGTGTCGTTTTCCAAGACCAGCACCCCTGAGGGGCGCACCTCCTTGACTTTCCAACGGATGGTCCCCAACCCCACGTCAAGGGTGTCCTGCTTAGCCCTCTTCAGATAGACTTCCTGTCCTTTGCAGACATCCTTTGCTGTTCTTCCCTCCCCTTTGTGTTGCCTCTGTTCGTATCTTCTTGCGTCCCTGAGCTGCGCGGTGTGCAGATTCTCCAACGCGGCTGGCATCATGTAGCGCATGTAGCGCGCCCTCACCTCGGACAGGGCTACCCAGTTCCTGATCGTGCCCGC